TCGACAGTGTTCTTGTCAATTCAGCATCAATAGAATCCATGAAGATAAACTGTGTTTGAGTACAAACTTTACATTTTGGATTCTGTCGCCTCGACTCGCTCCCTGCCTCCTTTGGTTAGCTGTTAGGTCAGGTCCCCATTCTCATTCTGAGTTTGTCAAATGTGTGTGTGTGCAGATGTAGTGTGTGTGTGTGTGTGTGTGTGTGTGCAGATGTAGTGTGTGTGTGTGTGTGCAGATGTAGTGTGTGTGTGTGTGTGTGTGTGCAGATGTAGTGTGTGTGTGCAGATGTGTGTGTCTGTGTGCAGATGTAGTGTGTGTGTGTGCGTGTGTGCAGATGTAGTGTGTATGTGTGTGTGTGTGTGTGTGTGTGCTGATGTAGTGGAGTAAAACTATAAAGTAGCATAAAATGGAAATACTCCAGTACTTTATAGTTGTATTTAAGTACAGTACAGATCATGTGACCTGGTGCTCATTAATGTACTTTAAATAGTTTCAGGAGCTCTGAGTGAGCGAGGAAGACGACCCCGACATCATGCAGAGTCCATGAGGCTGCAGCTCGGAGCCACGACAGCGACTCAGCAGCCCTGGAAACATTTCCAACACCTGGCGTGGAGCGGGAGCTGTAACCCTTCCTGGGAGTCCTGGTGAACAGCCTGCTGAATGTTCAGGTCACTGTTGGCTGATGAGGTGAAACCAGGTAGAGACATTCTGCCTTTATTGAATTTCTGAATAGCAATTAGCACCCAGCGGGCGATAAAGACATGTCGAGACAAGAGGAGCGTTTCAAAGCTTTCAGGTATCTGAAATGTGTTGTTAAGGAGCTGCAGCTCAGACGTCTGTGGGTGTCTCATGTTTTATACATGCAGTGTGATTAATGGTACCTCCTCACACACACTCTGCTGAGTGCTGTCAGCTGAGGGCTTGTGTCACAGCGACACCAAGTGGACGTCTGGGGAACTACTGAAGAGCTGGAAAACAGAAGCAGACCTGACCCTCAGTATGTCTCTTTGAACACAGGACATGTGGACATGTAGCAGGAGAAGCAAAATCACTTTTAAACTACAATGAGTAACGTGTGGATTCAGTTGAGCTGCTTCAGTTTCTGGGTCCTGGGGAGCGTCCCAGTCGCCTTCACTGATTGCTCTTTAACTGACCTGGAAATCGATCCGGTCCACTGTCACGGAGGACGTCTCACTTCACTTAACACAGCTCTGTGGAAACATGAGACTGTCCCTCTGTCCTGTAGTGATGTAACTGAAGGATGTCGTGTTCACTGGCTCGCTGGCATGACTTCATGGCAGGCGTGTGCGGAGGCGGCGGCTCAGGGTGCTCAAGCAACTGCACCTTTGTCCACAGTGTCCAACGCACCCTTTTGTCCACGGTGTAATTTTATTCATCTGTGTGTTCATGTGACAGCTGCTGTGCCCTTATCAAGAAGAACATTTAACAGTTATTAATAATTTAGCTGTAAATAAAACATTGATGTTGGGACGCTGCGTAAAACAAACAGTTTCTGTTTTAGTTTTATTTATCTGTTATTATGTATCTTAATCTGTGTGTGTGCTGCTGCAGCAGCTGATCGTCAATACAGATTTATCCTTATGACACCTCAGATTTGTTTTGCAGCCACTGAGTACTTTAAATGATCTCTGGACGAGGCGTTTAATGACTCAGCTCAGCCTGCTGAGTGTCTGTTGAGTTTGCAATTCAAATGTCTCTGAGGAAGAGGATGAAGAGAGAGGTGTAACAAAGAGACATCCGTGCATCACAGCGTCATAAAGTGACGTTTGGTAAAAAGCTGTATCGTCTCATCCCTACAAGTCACGTTTTACCGCTTGGACAGAAGAACCAGGCGTTACTACAATCACGCTTGTCAGTTGTATTTTGAGGCAGAACAGTCTGCAGGAAGAAGTGGCCAACACGTCAAATATCATCATCATCATCATCATCCTCACTGTGACCTCGTCACATGTCCACGTTTGGTCATGGACTTTCCACGTCCACATATGGCGTCCAAGGTACCCTGGGTGTGTTGGTTGTTGACGTTCTGGGACGCCATGTCAACTTCAGCCTGTTACATGCATTGTCTGTTTTCAAAATACACTTCTGTTTTCACAGGAAATGTACAGTTTGCATACAGTCCCTTTCAAAATAAAAGCACTACATCAGTACAACACCACCAACTGATGTTTTTTTCCTTCAACAACACACACGTGGTTGAGTTTCGGAAAGAAGAACAGGGTTTGGCTTTACAATCTTACAGGAAGTGAACAGCGGCTTCCTGGGTGGAAGTCAGTGTTAGTTGGACCCACCCACCTGCCCTACCTGGACTTTTGCCACCACCTTTATTCTTATCCTGCCAATTTATGCCTGTTGCATGCATTGTGTCCTCTCAGTACAGTATGTGGTACAACACAGTAGGTTTAGAAAAAACATCATGGCTTTGCACTACATTCACACAGGAAGTGAGCAGCGGGCTCCCAGGTGAAAGTTCAGGGTTTGTTGGATCAACCGTCCAGTGGGGACTTTGCAGCTCCTTCTGTGACATCGTTATGAGCAGTGTTTCAAACTGACGCCATCCAGCGGCGAATCACATCGATGTGACAGGTGGCTTTTGGTGTCGTGTCTGGCGCTGACGTCAGTGACAAAGCCGCAGTATTTGACAGGTTCAGAATGAGAATGGGTTGGCGGTTAGGTTGAGGCAACTTGGCTGTGGTTAGGAGAGGATCACAGATGTCGGCTTTGAGCGGCACAAACGCTGCAGCTGTTGCTGGTCTCGATCTCCGCTCTCCTCAAAGTACCGGTCAAAGACTTTCACGCTGTCTAAGTTCAGTCTAATGATGCAGTTGGGTTCACTTTGGAGTTGCTGGAAACTCTGGTGCATCTCACACAGACGCAAAGCGGCGCCCCAGCGTCATTATGTCGTGTTCACACCAAAGGTGATGCAAATTTTCCATCAAATATTTTGTGCTGACTTACATAACGTGTGCAAATAATTCACTGAATCGATGAATAAACTGTCTTCAGAATCTCAGTGCTGATTGGCTATCACGGCGCAAACTGGTCGCTGAAGTTCATGAATGAAGTGAGATTGCGCCACTCGCTTCAGTCGTGGTGCTTAATTTGCATATTTCGCAATGTGTATCATGTCCAGCGCACCACCTGTTGGGAATTCACGTCCAAGTGCGTGTTTACATTGACAGTGACACTGCCAGTGCAGCGTAGTTTGATGCCCTGGGGGTGAGATCGACTTTCAGTTGTGTGCCGCACCTCTTTTTATGTAATGGGGGCTGGAAAGACCTGGGCATCCTCGCTCATCACTCCTCCAGATGCATTTTAGGAGCTGACACATCCTTCGAGATGGAGCGCTGAGATCGAGGACAGAGGAGGCACAAAACTGATGAGAGTCTGTAAACATGAGCACATAACCCCCATCCTGCACTCACTGCACTGGCTCCCTGTCTCGTCCCGGATCAATTACAAAATCCTGCTGCTCACCCACAAATGCATCAATGGACACACACCTACAAGAACTAATCACTCCACAATCCTCCACCTGACCCTCAGATCTGCAGGCAGCCTACTCCTCCGTGTCCCCAGCACCAAGCTCTGCACCATGGGAGACCGAGCCTTTTGCTCGGCCGCACCACGTTTGTGGAACAACCTCCCTCTCCAGCTGAGGGCTGCACAGAGCCTGGACTCTTTTAAAGAAGGCCTGAAAACCTTTTGATTCAAAAAAGCCTTTGACTGTTGATTTGAGCTAATTATAGTGATTTTTTCATATGTTTTTATATTATGCTTGTAACCTGTAGCACTTTGAGATCCAAGGATGAAAAGTGCATTACAAATAAAATATATTATTATTATTAAAACAGAGAAATAAGAGGAGCCCTGTGTGTCCGTCTGTCTGACACTCTGTCTGTCGGGCTGCTGGATAATTAGTCCTCAGAGGTTACAGACGAAACACTTCCCTGACAACAGTGAGACAGTTTCCCCACAGGAGCAGCAGAACACTGAACACTGTGTGACGATGAACAGAGAAGACGAAGATGAAGAATAAATAATGTGAAATTATTCATCTGTTCCCACCTCCTCTTCTCCTCTGTCTTTTCTTCTTCATGTTAATCACTGTGACATTTGTTTTTAAAGGCTGTTTAAAGTTTGTTAGCTTCATCTTCTGTATTTGTTTTAATGGCTCAAATTAAGTTTTTAAATTCTTTACCTTCTAGGGCTGAATGAACACTCTGGAGAATCACTCCGAGCTCTGGAGATTCAATGTCCTGTTATTGTTGACTTTTTTTTCAGGCTACACTGAATTAATTATTTATAAAAAAACACGATACTAACAGCAAACGTATTATCAACTAGAATCACCACCCCGTGGTTGTATGACGCCTTCTGCCCACAAAAAGTTCCCTTTCAGTGTTCTTAAGATATTGTGTTCACAAGAATGAGACAGATTCAAGGTCATACTGACCTTTGACCCTTGACCACGAAATCCCATCAGTTCATTGTTGAGTCTAAGTGGACGTTTGTGCTAAATTTGAAGAAATTCCCTTGAGACCTTCTTGAGATATCACATTTACAAAATAAGATGGCCACAAGGTCACAGTGACCTTTGACCTCTGAGCACCAAAGTCTAATCAGTTCATTGTTTGAGTTTTGTCATAATTAGTGTATGAATTCTTGAGTTATGGCCAAAAACATATTTGTGAGGTCACAGTGACCTTTGACCTTCAACCACAAAATTGTAACCAGTTCATTCTTCAGTCCAAGTGGACGTTTGTGCTAAATTTGAAGAAACAAAAAATGCCTGGAGGCCTTCCTGAGATATTGTGTTCATAAGAAGTAAGGAAGTACATACATTGGACAGACGTACGTACAGACGGACACATGTACGAATGGACAACCCGAAAACATAATTCCCTCCAGCCACAGCTACCGCCGGCACGAAGGCAAAAAAAATGACCAAAACAAAGGAATAAACAGGAAATGACAAAATTCATCATGTTGTTCTTTATTGAAACGATCTGTGTGCATTAAAAATATAAAAACACGAACAGGAAATATAACGTTTGAGTTTCAGACTTCAGAAAAAAGAAATAAAACTAAACCAGAGTTTTTGTTTTTGTTCCAGCAGTTGAACTTTAAATCACACAGCTTTGTATAAACGCTCAGTTTCTAAAACATAAACCTGTTTTTTGCTTCCTCAAAAGCCAAATTTGGTTAAAAATAATTTTAAAATACAAACTTGCAGAAACTAAAAATCTGCTGCAGATAAAAAATAAAAATACGTCTGTTTTCTGTTGTCAAAGTTTGTTCTGATGATGTGAAGTTAAAGGAACAGTTCAGAGAGTTTGACACTCATGTCTGTACAGTAAATATGAAGCTACAGTCAGTTAGCTTAGCTTAGCTTAGCTTAGCTTAGCATAAAGACTGGAAACAGCTTTTTTTTCTGAATAGTTAAAATATTAAATCAACTTTTTTCAAGCTTGTTTTGCTACAAGATGTACGAAGATTAAAACGCGATTGAGCATCATATTTGTTTTTTAACTCTTCTTCATACGAATTATTCAAACAGACGGCTCCAACTAAACAGAGATCAGACCGCAAGTTTAATCTGTTTCAGGCCATCAGCGGGACATCAGCAGGCTGGCTGCGAGCTAACGTTAGCAACTCCGCTACATGACAGAACAGTTAAACCCTTTGAGTCCAGCACGTCTGACCGACACTAACCCTTCAGACGTGGCACCTGGACCCTCGGCCTGTTCACACAGTCCTCTTTAATGTCGTTTCTGCTGTTTCCTTTTTACTCTGTGTGCTAACGTCCCTACAGGAAATATCTACAAGGCTGGGCTGTTGTTGTCCTACAGTTTCCATGGCAACAGATCGTTCTGTGTTCCTATTGGTCAAAGTGACGGCTGTGACGGGAGAAGAAAATCAAACATGTTAGACTTTCTGCGGGACGTCGTGAGGCGTCCCAGACGTGGCGTCAGTTGTTGTCTACTATGACACACTACACCAGATGAAAGCATGGGTTATCAGTACAACACTCGTTCACGATCTGAGCCGGCACAGTACGACGCCGCGTTGGGCTGTAACCAGGCTGATATCATGTGGTCTGAACCCGACAGAAGACGGTTAACGCATCTGCTCCATTTTGTGGCATCGTAATGATTCGACTGTCTCGATGTTGAGATTTTCTACATCCTGCAAAAAACAAAATTCAAATTAAGTCGGTATATCCGTACCTGACTTGTTTGTTGATCCTGCTCAGAAACTAAAGAGTAAAAACAGTTTGTTGTGTAACCCGCGGCTCGAACCCGACGGCAGTCTGCAGGTTTTACTCAGATTAAACCAGGATCAGCATGTTTCTCAGTGAGCTGTACAGGAACTGATCAGTGGATCTAATCTGTAGTCAGAGCCAGGCTAGCTGTTTCCCCCTGTTTCCAGTCTTTATGCTAAGCTAAGCTAAGCTAAGCAGCTGTGGCTACATATTTAGCATACAGAGAATCAATCTGAACACCTGACGCTCAGAGAGGAAGTGTGTTCACCTGAGTGAAGTTTCACCTGCTGTGACATCATAACCTCTAACTGACGGCATTAATGCAAAGTGTTGTGTGTCAGCCATGAACAGAGCAGAGCAGCACAACGTTCCTTTAAGTTTGCAGCATCAAAACTCTGTGAGTCAATAATGAGTCTGATTGGTTTGTTCCTCTGAGCGTCATCAGCAGACGAGTCTTCAGCTGCGCACACACACACGTTACACATCAATACACTGACCATCATCGAGTGTGTTCATATATACACTCTGTATGTATTCATTATGCCTGTGTTGTTCCACTGCACTCTCATACTGACTGGACTGTTCTGCAGCTCAGTGTGGCTCTACTGCCTGAGCTGTGAGACAGACTGAGGTTATAAAAACACTCAACGATGGTCAGAATATTTCAGAGTCTGTGTGTCGGCTGCTTCATAAACTCCAGCTGTCGGCAGAGAGGACGTTCAGACACAATCTGAAACACCAGAAGACGAGTCAGTAACAGGAAGAAGAAGAAGACGAAGAAGAAGCAGAGAGACGTCTCACTCTGAACTCTGTCGTCTCCTGAAACCACAGAGTCTCTCATCGTCTACAAACCAGGTCGATTCCCTGATTTGATTTTCTTTTTCCTTCATTTAAAACAACCTGATCTGTTTGACCTCGGGGCCTCTGGTCTGACGACGACAAACTAACGACTAATATTTGAAATATTTCGTTAGTGGTGCTGATGAGAAAACGACCTCAGTCACTGCTCAACACAAAATACAAACTAACAAAAATAAAACTGGATAAATGTTTCACATTATTACAGTGACGTCTGATATCAGATTTGTATCTTTATAATCATTCATTTAAAGTCATGAAATGTGTTTTAGGTCCATAAAGGTTTTGAAATGATCGTTAAAGTGAATAAAGTGCGATGGGAGGAACAAAGAATAAATCTGCTGATATTCTGTATTTTTCTAATTGTCAACAAATCCACAGAACAGATCAGAGTCAACAATAAGTTCAGTGTTTTCTTCTGATTATTAATATTTCATTATGTGTTGTGGTGACTTAAACCAGGGGTTTATCATATCAGGGGTCGGCATCCTGCAGCTCTGGAGCCACGTGCTGCTCTCCAGCTGCTCCCTGTGGCTTCAACAGAAACCTACATGGAAATTAAATTATAAATACATTTTCAATTTTCATTTATTCTGTAGGCTTAAAGTGAATCTCACATTCTTCAGCTGTATAAATGTGCAGCCTGTGTAGCGATTTAAAAAAACATTTCATCCACTAAAACGTGTCGTACGTCTGGCCTGGAGCCTCTTCCTCCACAACAGCACGGGTGATGGCGACAGTTGTCTTGAGTCTTCCTCGCTGTGGACTCTAAATCCAAAAAGGGAAAAAATCTCAGAGGAAAAAAGAGACTTTAACGGTGCACCGACAGGCTGGTTTGCTTCCATCGGCAACGCTGCAGAGTTCAAGCACCAAATAATGATAACTATCTGAGTGCAGAGGAGCTGCCTGAACTGAAACATGTTGGTGAACGCTCGTTCAGATCAGTTGGTGATGTTGATGAACTGGCTGTAAGTTTTATTATGATATGATCAAATATGTTTTGCTGCTCCAGGCAGATTTTTTTAATCCTTTTTGGCCAAAAATGGCTCTTTGGATAGCGAAGGCTGACGACCCCCGACTTAAATAGACGAGACGTTAATCTCAAAACGAACTAAAACTGATTGTTATCGGCCGACACCTTCATCAGGCTGCCTTCACTCTGAGAATCAGGGCTCATATCTCTGTATTTTCAGGCTGGCCGGCGATGAACGATACACACCGATCACTGACCGGTGTTTGAGTGGGTGAACATGTCAGGTGGTATCCACATGAATGAACCAAAGGTGCAACAGAATAACCACAGTTCTTCACTTCACCTGTGGTGTGAATGTTCTGGCTGATGGGTGTGTGTCTCCGAAGGGCTCCATGTCTCTCATGTCGAGTCAAAGCCTCTTTACAGACGTCAGGAGCACTTTTGTAAAAACAGACTGATCAAAATAAAATGCAAAGACAGATTTTTTTGTCCCTGATTGAAAATAAACACAATATGTACATGAGAATGATGTCAAACAAACAGCAGTGCTGCACGTTAACGTTTCTGCACACAGCTCTGGAGCTTCAGAGGTAAACCACCTGTGTTGTTTGATTCTACCTGAGACGTAGATTTGAGGTGTAGTTACTGTACAGCAGAGTGAAACGTACACACAGAGCCGAGGTCTGCGCTCTCTGGTTACACCTGTGTGTGTGACCTCAATACACTGCAGCTTGTTATTTATTTAAACTGATCTCAGGTCAGAGCAGGTGTCAGGTGGAGTCCTCACACAGCAGCTACTGTTCACATCGTCAGGTGATCGTCAGGTGATCGTCAGGTGATCATCAGCTGCAGTGTTGGGTTTTATAAAATTCGCCACAGACAGGAGGAAACTCAGAGTACTGAGAGACTTTTATTTTTTCTGAGGGATTTGTCGACAGGAAGAAACTCTGAACAGCTGATTCATTTCAATCAGACATGAAGACGAGACTTAAATAAAGCAGCTGGTTGATGATTGATGGCTGAAGGCTGATGAGGTCACTGAGGGAAACTAAAGGTTTCATATATGTTTCCTGGTGTTACTGAACACACCTGTCGCCTCCTTCAACAGGAGCAACAGACGTCCAGTTTACACTGGTCATTTCAAGTGTCTATCGTTACTATGGCAACGTAACAATTCAATACATCATTATTTTAATACACTTTCATCTACGCAAAACATTTCACCTCTTTATTTTCTATTGTTGAATCTTTCTGAAGTTGTTTTGTGTCTCTGTCATCGTCTCAGTTCTCTTTATCGTTGATCTGTGTATTTGTAGTCATCCTATACATCTCTGTAGTCCTTTATTGTCTCTTTGAAGTTGTTTTACGCATCTTTGTAGTCGTTTTGTATTTTTGCAGTTGTTTTGTGCCTTTGAGGTTGTGCCTCTTTGTAGCTGCTTGGTGTCTCATTATAGTTGTTTTGTGTCTTTGACGTCATTTAATGTATCTTTGTAGTCGTTTTGTCTCTTTGCAGATGTTATGTGTCTTTGTAGTCGTCCTATACATCTTTGTAGCCATCTTTGTCATTTCTTTTTGTGTCTCTGAAGTTGTATTAATTCTGTTGATTATTGTTTTGCATCTCTTTGTGTCTCTTTTTGATCCTTTTCTGTGTATTTGTGGTCACATTAATTCTCTCTGTAGCTGTTTGATGTCTCTTTGAATCCTGAACCCGGTGAGCCTGTTCAGAGATACATCGACGTAATAAAGTGTCTCACATGTCCTCCACAGTTGGTTTAAACAGTTTGATTTCAGTCAGTCTTAAATAACTCTTGGACAGTTTATATCCAGTATTTGGACGTGTGCAGTGACTCAGTTTCTCTGGTTTCAGAACCTTTACAGTAAATTTTGTTTTGAACGCTGACAGACGTCGGTGGTGAACTGAAACGTCGTCAGACTAGAGGCCGTTAAAATAAAGTGCACACAGATTTACAGTATCAGCGCGAGGACGACAGCCCCGCCCAGACAGGAAACACAAACCTCTGTCCCTCTCAGCTGATGATGAAGACTCTCGGCCCTTCCTCTCTCATAGGAGGAAGACTCTCTATCACCATGTTGTCCATCAGTCCATATTTATCCTCCTTTTTACTCCTGCTTCCTCCTCCTCCTCCTCCTCCTCCTCCTGCTGCTGCTGGTCGTCCATTGGCTGAAACCTCGTCTGCAAGCCCCTCCCTCTCCACCGGCTGAGACAGCTGACTGGTCAGCTGCTTCATCGTCAACTGAAAAACATCACAGCACATTAAATTCTTGTATCATACGCATGACCTCCTGTCCTCAGATAGTACCTATCTAACCTCAAACACAGCTGTAAGACCTAATATATATTTAGATTGCTTCTCCCCAATTTCTCTTCAAGAATTGACAGCAGTGATTTCTTCATCTAAATCATCAACGTGTCTCTTAGACCCCATCCCAACTAGGCTACTTAAGGAGGTCTTTCCTTTAGTTAACACTCATA